CGGGTGCGCCCCCGCGGCCGGCCTCCGGCGGGGCCTCGCCCACCAGCGGGGCCGCCGGGCGAGGCCGGCTTGGCTCGCGGCCTTCACCCGAGGCCTGCTGGCGTGCCAGTGCTCGTCCGCCCCCCACGCCCCATCCGCTCCCGCCAGGGCCGAAACACGCTTCTCTTCATTCCAGCGCATCCCCCAAACTTGATGAGATGCCGTCTTCGTTCCAGACGGTGAGATCTGAGAGGGGAAGAAACACTGCTCCCTTATGGACGGAGTACCTGTGAAGGTGCGAAACCGGACATGCAAAAAGCTGAAAACACAAGGGGCAACTCAGCCTTCAGCAGCATTTCCACAGAGTGCAGGCTGCCGAAATGTACCGGATGGATGCCAGACGCCACAGTGTCTACAGGTAAGTATCTCTGCATAAAAGAGATAAAGTAAAATTTAAACATGAATATACAAATAACTTCAAATAATTAAACATATACTTATCTAAATCTTTTTCTTTTGCTGTGAACTGCTGCTTCACAATTAATGTGGCATAACAAGCTGCTGCAAATATTGCAATTATGTACATTTAAAAGCCTGAATTTAAACACTGTACAAAGAATAAATCTTGAGGATGGTAGTGTTATATACCTTCCAAGACACAGGAATAAAGTTAATACTTTGTAACATTGGCAATTTAAATCCCTGTGTAATGATGGGGAGGGGTATTGCATGAAAGAATACGTAAATGTATGAGTGTATGAATAATAAATACTTTACATTTTAATACCAAGTATATTTCACTCTGCTTAATATTCATGGCCTTGGCCAATGACTCTATAATGTTCAAGTGTTTGAGCTGTGCCAGTTCTTAAAGATATTGACCTAAACACTTTTTCTATGCCGATATTAACCCGAATCGGAATTTAAGTCAAAAATAACCCAAATTAGAAACTATATTTTAAAAAAAAATCTAAAACTGGAAAACATGCATAATGTATTTCCAAAGTTCTCAAGCTAAATATTTTATATAAAATTTGTTTTTATTTTTATATTACTTTATATTTATCTGTGTATTTATGTTATCTGCATGTGAATATATATATGCAAATATATATTTATAAATTTACATTTTTTTCAGTAATTTCTTCATAAAGTTGATTATTTTTTCAATTTAGATCTTAGGTACAATTTATCATTGCAAACAATCAAAATTGTATTGCTGAGTATTACTATACTAAACCAACATTCACCCACAATAATTTTTTATCAAATAATAACCTTGAAAATACAATTTTGTATCAAGGAAAATGTTCAACTAGCAAGTATATCAAAAAAGGTAATCAAATTAGATCTGAACACTACATAATTAAGAGACTTCCAAAATGCATTTTATTTTCTTATCTTTACCAGAAAACTTTTATTTGTAAATGTTTTTTTAAAAAAGAAAGTTAATACTTTTAAATTGAGCGGTCAACCTCATAGCAATTATATGAGTTAAAATATAAAGGACTGCTTTTGAGCTTTATGGTTAATGCTAAAGTGATTTTAGAGAGTTAGGTTTGAGTGATATACTAAAGTTTCTGAAGTCACAAGTTGATTTATCAGTGGCTTTCCTGTTTTATCAATCATCATCAAAAAGGTAATTATCTCACATTGCGGATATATGCAATTGGAGAAATGTACATGAATATATACAACTACGACAGGTTTTTCAAACGATACCTCAAAGTACACCAAAAACAACAGCAAAAACATCAATTCTGTGCTCTGATGAACGAAGACACAGCTAGCACATTAAAATGCCGTCTTGTAGCCAACTTTACACTGATGTCTAAGACAAAAATAAATCTTTCTATTGTGTGGTTAAAAATAGCAACATGGACTGAATGAGAATTAGTATCCACTGATGTCTCTTCTTTTGTGAAACATGCTATGTTTCACTAATGTCTATCTGTAGAATAAATAAATTTAATACACATATGCAAAAGCAAAAAATCAACTCATATATATTTTAATTTTCCATGCAAACTTATTTTCTGAATACATATATAATAGTAGTATATTATCAAGAGTTCTACGTATAGGATCTGTTTTGCACTGCACTGGAAATATCTTTGGAGTAATCCATTAGAAGTAGAGATAACAGATATATTAATTACATTCTCAAAAAAACTAGTGACTGTTACACAACAAATGAAAGGAGGTACATATAGAGACCTAGAATAAACTTAGTTTAGCGTAGTTCTTTTGCCTCAGCATGGCCATTTTTGCTTAGACTTTTCCCCTGACATGCTTTGAATCTAGCACAGATTAGACACAGATAAGATAAATTTCCAAAAAAGCAGGTTTTAGGAAGTGTTCAGACATTCTACTACAGGCCAAGCTGGCAGCCAACCCCAACCCCTCGGCCAATCTCCATCAGATGCAAGACCAGGACAGCCCAACAGTCCAATCATTCAATTCTAGCTGAAGCCAAAAGAAGATTGCAGACTGGAAATGTCTGACATGTCTTTTGCAGGAAAAACCCCTCCCCTTGTCTCCTCCCATCTAGCTCACCACTGTGGCAGAAATCATGTGACTGACCCACCTATCTGCCTGCTGTCGGTCACCTGATGCCAGTCCCTGTGCTTACATGCCCCTTCATGAGGATGTGGAGCAGACCACCACCCAGTCACCTTAATGACCTTCTAACAAAGAGAAGGGTTTTAAAAGGCCTCAACCAAGAGCAGCCATCATGAGCAGCCATTTGCCGTTGCCTTACTAGACTCTGGTGCGGCCATGTACTCTTTGTCTCTCTCTCTCACATTTACTTTTAAATAAACTATATTTTCCCATCTAACTTCTGTGTAATTCTTTGCATCTTTCACGCGGCATCGATTGCACCCCAGACACCCACCCCCCAGCAGGCCTGACCTAACATTCTAGTGGAGTTGCTGGGAGTGCTAAGAGTTCTTCTGTCTCATAAATTATACCCTTGAAAGAAATTTGCCAACACGGCTCGTAACACCAAGCCTTGTTAGAGTAACTGCCCAACACATTACTGACTGAATGACAACAAGAAAAGGCACTAATGACTGCACACTGCAATCATGGCAAACGCACTTAAGAGAAAACTTTTATTAGTTGACCTATGGATTGCCATTTAATGGTTCCAGTTTCTGAATCATCAAGTTGTTTATTATGATTTAGTGTTTTGATGTATTTAATTCAATCATAACTCTCTGGAAGAATAGTAACTCTTTTTCATTCAGAATATAAACGTAATTGGTACACAAGCAAGATAATATTGTTTAACATATCATCTAAGTAACTAATAAACTAATATATAATCTATGCTAAGATAAAATTGTGGAAAAAAAATCAATAAAAAAATTTGGGTTGAAAGATACTAGAAAGTGACATACCATGAAGCAACTGTATTTTACTTTAATGACTATGAATGAAAGATTTATACTTAAAACACTAGTCTTAGATTTATTCTTCTATTATAGGTGGTTCTGATGAGTCTTTTTTTTTTCTCAATACTGAGAAAAATTCAGTTCTATGTTGCTAAAGAAACTACATAGAAGGACCCCATTAGAAAGAGCTGAAACTCCCCAATTCATTTCAAACTGATTCATTCCGGTCCAGTTCAGCCCTCCACCTCTGGAACTCTACAGACAGAGGATGGGGCCATGCTTGAACAGTAATGTTGTAGTTAATTTGTGTGCCATGCACAGAGGTGAACAAAAATTTTTGAAGACTTTTCAAAACTTTGATTCTATGATTCTGGAAAAGAGAAATTTCTCTCTTCTCAGGGAAAAAAAAGGAAAAACAGAATATTTAAGTATAATTAAGACTTAAAGTTATATATAAGAAAGAGAAGGTGCAGGCAACCCCCCTTTGGGTCCCCTCCCACTACGGGAGCTTTTCTGTCCTCTCAATGAATCCTGCTTTCTTAAAAAAGAAAGAAAGAAAGAAAGAGAAGGGGCTTTAATACTAGCCTGCTTTCCTACAAGTGACTAACTTAGTTTTGCTGATGCCCTGTAAAGGGGTTACAAGTGTGCCAGGACGTGCTAATGGCTGCAAAATTTAATTCTAAATTTATATTTTAATTCCATTACAGTTAACTCCTTAATCTTTCTCACTTGGTCATTACGATTTTATGAGGAGTAAGAAAGGGTTGTGTAGTGACTACTATATGCTGTAACTATCCCCTGACCTTTATGTTGAATTAAAATAGTTCATTTGAGTATTACTTTAGCCTGACTTACCATCAGTGGAGTTTTGTTTGTATGTGCATGTAAAATACTCTGGTTTTTATTTCAATTTTTTCTTTTCTTATGTTTTTAAAGATAGAGAAGCAGTGGATGAATGTTACTTTATCAAAAGTATTCTTTGAAATTAGGTGTTCCCATATGGAAATAATTTCTTGGTCTTTTTAATCTATCATTTTATTAATGGATTCAACATTAACAATTTGTCAAACTCTGAATCTTAAAGAAACTCCATAAAATATAATTGCTTCATCATTTGAAACGGGTTTTTTTAAATAAATAAATAAATAAATAATGGTTGAAGATAATTTAGTTAAATCAATACATTAAGGGACTCTTTTGGTCTAAATGACTTTAAATAATAAATTTTTCAAGCCGGGCTCGGTGGCTCAGCCTGCAATCCCGCGCCTTTCGGAGGCTGAGGTGAGTGGATTGCCTGAGCCTGTGGGTTCGAGACCCACCTGGGCAGGCGAGACTTCATCTCTACAATAAATCAAAAAAAATTAGCCAGGCGTGGTAGCGCACACCTGTAGTTCCAGCTACTTGGAAGGCTGAGGCGGAAGGATTGCCAGAGCCCAGCAGGTCGAGGCTGCAGTGGCCAGGAGTGGCCACTGCACTCCAGTTTGAGTGACAGAGTGAGACAACTCAAAAAAAAAAAAAAAAAAAAAAAAGTTTCAAATTATTTTTATCTCATATGAGTAATATAGTTTTTAAAATTGTTTGAACTTTAATATTAATGTTTCATTACCTCCTGTTTTACTTATCCTAGGCTTATTTTTTAAACTTTTTTTAAGGTAATCTGTTTACAACATTTTTATAAATGCAGGGGATCTAGTATCTTTTAAATACATTTTCTGAAGTAACAAAAGCCTACTGCTGCTTATACATTTATATCTAAATATTAATTTACAAACTCAACATATATTTATTGAGTGATTATTACAGGCCATAGCCCTCACAGATCTTACATTTAAGTGAACAGACAATAAACACATAAGCTAAGTCATGTAACAGGAATTCACAGGCTGTAAAAAACAGAACAGGATAATGAGGTTGGGGTAAGTAGGATTAGAGGAACTGGTTGCTGCTTTTTTGAGGTTGATTCCAAGACTGTGGGACGGAGCTAGAGAAGGAAGACGAGTTAGTGATATGAGCAGTTAAGGCCAGAGTATCTGTCACCATGTTGCAGATTCGCTCACTTCATCCATCTCCACAGATAAATCGGCACAAGGTTTGAGCCAAGGGGACAAATGAAATCGAAGAGGCACCACCCATCAAATAATGTCGTAAGACGTACTGAATGCGCTACCAAGTCAGGCAGCACAGAGGAAACACCAACTCAAAAAACTGATAGAACCACTTATACTGTAGAGCAGTAGCTGTGCAGACTTTAGTGCCAACACTCAGCTAGCTGCTCCAGATTAAATTTCTGTAGTGGCATCTTAACAGAATGTTGCTTGTTTTACCAAGAAGCACTAAAACAAACTACTGGTAATAAAATATCCAACTTGATGTATTCGAACTTGGAAAGAAAAAATGATGCTGAGGAAGACACGGCATAAGCCTTCACTGGCCAACAGAAAGGTGTCAAGGATTTATATCAAGAGAACATTCTGAAAATCCTGAGGTTCCAGTAATACGTCACTCTGTTCCATTCATGGGTCTATATTCCATACTAAATGATGCCCTCAAAATGGTAAATTAAATAAAATCCAAGCTGCTAGAGTTCTGCCTGTTTTCAATTTGATGGCAAGAAATGCAATGAGAACACAAGATTGTTGATGTCATGAAAAGATAATTTGTCATTAAAATGTTTACAGGTTCGGCTCAACACGACTCCCTGACGATGTCTGGATGGTGGTATATAATCTGAACACTAGGTAGCAGCCCTCTTATTCCCTATCTGCAAGATGCATTTTTAAGACATCCCTAGATATGTCTGAAAACATATTCTAATAACTCTAGTTATGATTCAATGAATAATCTGTGGGATGTAGGCATTATTTTAAAATATTTGGCAGCAAATGAACTATTGGACTCAAAATCCTCACTCATTCTTAAGATTTTCACTACATTTGTAAATGAAAGAGTGGAAGGGGTGTGAGACTTTTTAAATCTTCAAATATGATTTAAGGGAACAGAATTACTCAAATTCTGGTCCACAGCAGGAAAAGACTTCCACTGATTGGAAACAAAACAACAAAAAACTACTGTTTTGTCTTGTTTTTGCCAGTTGTTTCCTTTGTTCATGGGAGTGCAATTTCTCATTATGGTGAAGAGCAAGAAGTGGAAAGTCTCTCACTAACTGCATATAAGTATTTCCTTAATAAAATTTCCAATGTGATGTGTTCCTTGATAATTTTATTTTATTTTCCTTATCACAAATATATATTGAAAAAACACTTGAGAAATGTTTTCATCTGACTCCGCATAGATATGAGCTTAGTTCATCTTTGAGTGCCATGTGACTTCAGTCCAAAAGCAACATGTCATGAAAAAGGTTTGGGAAGTATTAGATAGGTGATACCGTTGGCAATTTTCCATACTTTGAGATCTTAACAAAATGCAGTAAATAAGTGAGGAAAATAATCACAAACATCAGTAAATGAATTGAGGGATACACTTACCTCTAGAGTAATTTCTGAGATCCAATAAGACCAGTAAAATCTTTTAAAGTATATCATAATACTTCAATAAAAACCCTGTATAGGTCTCAAAAATGTACATAAAATGAGTGTCTCTTTTCTTCTAGTTACAATTTCTGCTAAACAAGTGACTTTCTTATACTGCGATTTAACTATCAAGAGATTCTAGCAAAGCAACAACACAAAAATCTACTCAATAGCTGTCTGTTTCCAAGTAGAATTTAAATACTGTAACTTATCAACAGGCTTAAAACGGAACTGTTTTAAGCTTCCGCTTCACTATCACGCTCCTATTACATGAAATGCTCTTATCGTCACTGGTCTCTCGTTCTGTTACCATTAAGCCAGACTGCGAGGGTCTGAGAAAACGTCCAGACCGTACTGTCAACCAGAAGGGTCGAGGCGCATCCAGGCAGAAAAAGGCCCACAGGCTATCACAGAGCCCTCCTCCGAGAAAATAACATCCCGGGGACTTGGCGTGAGACGTCCCTCAGCTTCCCAACCCGACGGCAGACTTACAGAGACGTGCGTTCTCGGCAGCCACAGGAAAGCCGAGGCCAGAAGCCGGGAGAAGCGCCGGAGGAGCCGGAAGGTTCTCGCCCCGTCCCCCGACAGCATCAGGAAGAGCGAGGACGCAAACCAGTCGTGGCCGGCATACCCGCCCCGCAGGCCCACTGGGCGCGCGTCAAGGAAAGGCCGCTCCCGTCCGGAGACGCCGCGCCAGCCGCCCGCGCCGCCTCCCGCGCCCCGCCTGGCCCAGGACGCAGCTGCCGACGGCACTGCCACCCCGCCGGGTCCGCAGTGCGCGCCCGCGCCCGCGGTGCAACCCGGCCTGCTGATGAGCCGCAGACGGCTGACACGATCGCGGTCTGAACGGGCAGGGTCTGCTTCCGCATCCCCTGGAGGTCACCGGCCGGAGCAGCCGAAGGGAAGACTGCTTGCCCCGTAAAAGCCGACCTGCTCAGACACTAACGCAGCAGAGCCAGCCTTTCTGCAGTGAGGCTGTCTGCTAAATATCTAGCAAAACCAAGCATAAATCCACACATTTTTAGAATTCAGGAACGTGAGCGCTTTGTATGCATTTTTATAAGTCAGACTCTATTTCTGACATATACACAACGAGTAAGACTGAATCTAACGATTATAGCTCAAAATAAAGTATAAAACACTGTAAGAATATATCATAGCCAAGCACTAATACAGCTTAAAGTATTCGCCATAAATATGTCGGTATCTCATCAACTAATCATGAAAAATATATGAAGAAAGTTCAGCTGTTGTGAATCTGCTCAAAAAGGATACGAAGAGACGATTTCACAGAAGTTTGCTGCAGTTTCAGGAATCTTGCACAGTGCTTCAGAACCAAGGTAAGATCACTTTCTGCGCTGTCTTTTAAAAGGCCAAGGAACTTGCCATACCTGAATTAAAAGTCCACAAGACACACACAATGAAAAGTACCAGGCCTTGCATTTCGAGTTTTTTAAATTCTACTTTTAGCCTAGCAATGTCATACAGAGCACTCGGGAGAGATTAACCCTCGATATATGTTCCTAAGGATGATACATTACGATTAGCAGCATCCATCTAGTACATGCTGGTAACGTTAAAGAAAGAGCAAACAGTAAGGAGAAAACAAGATGAAGATGCCCTGTGGATGAGTCATAGAGTATGTTTCTTCCCTCAACTGAATCTAAAACCTGGAATGCTGACAGGCTAGTTTTACAGAATGTCCACTTTAGAGTTCAGTCTAGTCCAATGGTCCTAAATGGTGGTAGCACGTAGCCCAAAAGTCATTTTGAAAATTTATGGAGATGTTTTTGATTGTCATAATGACGCAGGGAGTGGGATGTGATGGACGGCTGAATGGGACTCCTAGTACTTCATGAGCAAGGGCTAGGAGGGTAGACATGGGACAGCCCTGGACAACAACTTGCAAATGCCCTATTGTTACTTCTATGAAAAAAGTTGATTATAATTATGTCAAACTCACTCTGTTTTATACAAACTTCTCACACAATGCAACTACGCATTAAATCAGGCAGAGACAGTACTTTTATTCTGTATGAAAATTGACTGAGACCTCTTCACCATTTTGGAACATCTCTTTGCCTGCTTGTGGTATTTGAGGCACCGAAGCCAAATCAGTCAGTATTTGTGGATGCTCTCGTCACAGTGACCCTACAGATGGATGGCAGCTGTACCTTATGAGTGTATCCGAACTTGCTTAAAATCGCTTTCCACTGATTTTACACATAAGATATTATATTGACTTAAAAATGTAACTAGCCTGCTTCTATTATCTATAAATTCCATTTCAGAATAGAAAAAGGACATTATGAAATATCGGGATAAAAAGCAGGTATGGGGTCACAAAACATAATCAAGAGTTATATTATATGCCCTGTGTGATACAGGTGTATGAACTAGAATTAACACCATTTTCACCATCCTGCAATTTTATAAAAATGCTCAGTCTTTTTAACAGTGCTCACATATCTTCTTTAGTAGAGCAACTCTAAAGATGACCCGATAGGTGAAGTGGGAGCATCAAGATTCCCATGTAATAAGCAAGAAAGGGAAGTTTCAGTCCTTACTTCTCAGCCCACCATTGAGCTTTGCCAACTACTTTGCCAATTACAGTGCAATAAAAAGTCAGACTACAGTAATTTTGGCTTATTAATTTTATCTTCTGCATCTATCCTTATGATACTTTTACACTCATCCCCATGGAATTAATCATATTTCAGAAAACACTGTGATGGTGCTGGCCATGTGCTGATTTTTACAACGTCATTTTTGGAAAAACCTGATAGTCTTAGGGGCTGAAGCACATTGTCATTAGCCTCTGGAATAATAATGAACTGTAACTAATTTCCTGTAGAAGTCATTTAATAAGGAGAAAATAACTGCAAAAACAAAGTTATTTTCTAAATGGTAAACTCTGCATTTAAAGTACACAGAATACTTGGTTGTTAAATTAAATACCATTAAGCACATATCAGACAGATAAAACAAAGTCTAGAAATACACAAGAGCGAGATTTCCCTACAACATACCTGACAGTCATCTTAATGCCAAGCTGCTGCACAGATGAAAGACTTTCATTCTTCACACTTGCATCAGTAGCTAAAAACAATAGGAAACTGAGTTATAAAAGTCTGCATAATAATCGCATTTTAACTGAAAATTGATGAAAGCAATATTTTTACATATTTTAATGCGAATTTTTAAAACTGATGAATTCATTATTTTAAAAGCTGTCAGTTATATTTTCAAAGGAATTAACTGGAAACTTTTTACAAATAACTTTTTTCCCACAAAAAGCACTTAAGAGCATATTAAATACAAGACAGTAACAGTTTTGAAACAATCTATTTATACTTGGTTCTCAGAACAAAAAAAAAATCTGTTTAGCCAAAAAGTGATCTAGAAATTCTATACTTTAATCAATCAATGCATATATAAAATGTTGAATTACAAATATATATAAGGATGGGTATCTCTTTTCTGACATCATATTTAAATTGTTAAGTAATCAGTGGTCTACTTTCAATGTACGACAGCCTGAGGATGGACTGAATGATTTTCTCTCTGTAGGCTGGGTTCCTTTGTGAAGTAGTTGCTATAATCTTATACCAAAAGCAAAGGAGTTTTGTGACACAGAGGACTGCAGCATAAGTTGAAAATTTGGATCCGTTCTTGAGAACATTAGATGGCCAGGCTAACAGTGAACTCTCAAAGCATCACTAGATAGCATGCAGGGTCTACGCGAAACCTTCAATTTTTGATTAAAGAAACCATTAGTGTGTATACATGCACACACAATTAAGGGAATCATCACACAGTTATCTTGTGGTAGAGAAGACCAAAAGCCAGGCTTTCTGAATCCCTTATCAATGGGTTGCCCCCTTTCATTACACAGTGGTGTTATCTCATCTCACCAATATAGACTATTTCACTGGTGAACGAGTCATCTCTCTTAATAAGCCCTTTCTGATATAGGAAGTGTGGGACACCAAGAAGCGATGGGTAATAAAAGATAAGTCATACTTCATATGCTGGAAGAACTTTCCATGTGGTGTGATAAAGTGTGTTTACAGATAACTGTGATACAGGCATCTTAAAGTACTAAATGGAGTAAGAATGATATAGATAAAGTGCTGTCTGAGTTCAGAAGATGAAGAGATTGTTCCCAGCTGGGTATGAAGAAGTGGCATTTAAGGTGAACCTTAAAGATCTATGGACTTCAGATCTTCAAAATAGGGAAGATCTAATTAAACGTCGCTGTTGTCAAATTTCTACTCTTTGGATCAGCAATACTTCATCTTTCAGCACTCTTAGATTTAAGATAATCAACATGTCCCAGTTCGCAAGGGACTCTCATAGTTCTAGTACTGAAAGTTCCATTCCCCAGGAACCCCTCACAATCCAGGGAAATCAGACTGGCTGGTAACCTTACTCACAGCGGCAACTTTTTAAAAGAAAAATAAAACAAAAATAAGCTTTAAAAGCTTAAAAAAAACTAAAGATGTTTTGAAAACTTTTAAAAAGCACGTGGCTAATTCCTTGATAAGCTACACCTGAGACTTACTTATTTAGATTGGAATGCAAACTTACCCATGTTGTTACATTTTGCTTATGATGGCAAAAGTTAAGTTATACTGCACATAGCTTAGAATTCCCTGTTATTTGTGATTCTTACTAATAGATGCACTAGTGGACGTACCTGGTTATTTATAACCCTCACTAAGAGATACCACCAGGCCGGGCTCGGTGGCTCAGCCTGTAATCCCGCGCCTTTGGGAGGCTGAGGTGAGTGGATTGCCTGAGCCCGCGGGTTCGAGACTCGCCTGGGCAGCGAGACCTCATCTCTACAATAAATCAAAAAATCAGCCGGGCGTGGTAGCGCGTGCCTGTAATTCCGGCTACTCGGAAGGCTGAGGCGGGAGGATCGCCAGAGCCCAGCAGGTCGAGGCTGCGGTGGCCGAGAGCAGCCACTGCACTCCAGTCTGGGCGACAGAGTGAGACTCCAACTAAAAACAAAACAAAACAAAAAAAGAGATACTACCAGATGTACCCTTTATCCCTTGGGGAGGATATCAGTTCTGTACTTCTGCTATTAAAAGACCCTCCTCCCGTAGCAACAGGTTTAGGCAATGGAGATGATATGATGTAGTCTCAAAATGTTTCAACTAGAGGGAGGATGGAATTTTCTTCTCCCGATGAATCATGGGCTATGAGGTACCCGAGGTCTTCAGGAGAAAAAAATAAAATCTATCATACAAGGAGGGACAGAGAAAGGAGACAGGTTGCTAAAAACAGATTTACCCCCATTTAGGAGTCAATCATTTTGTCTCTGATTCTGCATAGAAAAAAATTTTTATTTAGGTCTTTGGCACTTGTATCAAATATATATATATATATATATATACACACACACACGCTTACATATGCATGGTCATATATACATATATAATAAACTGTTCTCTCTCACAGAATCAAGAAAAAATTTTAAAGCTATAAATTATCATTCATATTTACTATAATTTCCAATTTTTAGTCTTATCAGCATTGTATTTGGCCAAAAGTTAAACATAGTTTTGCTTTTGTTTTTGTTTTTGTTTTAAATCAAAAGTACAACATAATCAGGTTAAATTCTGTATGTAGCTATCAGGAATCTTCTGGTAATCCTATACTTCATGCTGAATTATACTTCAGTTTCCCAAATTTAAATAATGTAAAACTTTAGGGTTGTATTGTTGGCAGTGTTGGCTAATTTTGCAAAATTTAAATAGTTTCAAGAAAGTAAGTATAAAAACTCTGAATTCCTCTAGTCATGAATTAGACCTCCTATCAGTTGTCAATGTGCCACAGTGACAACAATGTGACTTTTATAAACTATTGCCAGAAACATTTGAAGTTAGATTAAATAGTGCTTAGAATTCTGGTACACATAAAATTGATTAAGCATTAAAAATAAGATGTATACTACCTTTACTAATATACAGAACTGTGTGCGTATAGTAATTATTAATGTTCATGCTAGAAAGTATAAAACAGATAGCCATCTGAACAGTAAAGGAGGAGTGTGCAGTAGGTGAAGAAGGGAGCTAGAATGGCGTTCCCAGTGTCATGTGTTCCAAAGATCAGAGTGGCTTCTAGTAGGAAACACTGACTGAACATCAGTAAAAAACAAAATAAAGTTAAAGAGCCAGGTGAGAGGAGTCACCCGAAAGGAATGCATATTAAATGAGGATCCATTTCTTTTAGTTCTACCTGTGAGAGAAAGGAGTTCTTCCAGAGTGGTCTAGTTGGGAGGCCTGGAATGAGACCTTTGCCTTTCCTGTAGTTGTATAAATAATTGCCAAGGTCTAGAGCATCTCTAAAAGTTTATGACTCTATCTTCAGAATAAAAAAATGAATGCTGCACATTTAACAGAAAATGGTTCCCAATTATGGCAGTGCATCAAAATCCTCTGAGGAACTTGTCAAAAGTAAGAATAAATAGACTCAATTTCAGACTACCAAATCAGATAGCTGAGGGTATTTTTAAAGACCTCTATTATCTTAGTTCTGGTACATACACTAAAGATCCACACTTACAGTAATAAAAGTGAAATTTAGATATAGTACAATCAGGCAGCTATACCCCACCCCTCTGTCCAAATTTCATTTTAATGAAGGTACCAAATTCTCCAAAAACCTTTTGAATGAGGATATATGGAGTTGTTGGCCTACCAAAACAAACACCAAATACCCATATTTTAAAAATCGCTGAGGTGAAAGAGGTGCAAATAACTTTAGCATGAACAAAATCCTATAGAAAAAAAAATGTGAAGAAATGAAAACTTTCCTAAAACAGGAATGAAGAAGGCAGAAAATGGTTTAGGGGCATATATTAAAAGAGAGGCTTACGTTTTAAACTTGCATTTGATATACAATATGACAACTTAGCATGCAGAAATGGATATGTGACTACAAATGTTCAGTGTAAGAAACTTCCTGGATGATGGGAACTTATGAAGCAGGAATTAAAATCTTCAGAAATAAAACAAAATTGATGGGCAACATGACTAAGTAAAATTCAATGATAAAAACAGGATGTCTTCAAGGGAATCTGATACACGTACATGGCTGGTAACCAGTAATTTGCTCGTATAGGAACAACAGCATGTGGGATACATAATAGGTGCCTAATAGAAACAGAGTGAATGAATAAGCGGATGAATGAACAAACATCCCACAAATAGCAACAAAATAAACTGTGCTTAAAATATCAAACTAGAAGGTGGAGAAGGAAACAGACAGGGACTTAGAAGCATTTTCTGTACATGCAAATTAAGTAACACATAGAAGATATGACTCCCACTCCCTAGAGTCACTGGGGAAAGCATCATTGAAATAAGTTGCTGAAAAAGAGTCAAGCAAACAATGACACCATAGCATCACACTTACCCCACTTCCTGAACAAAGCTTAATTCAATCCAAGAATGTTAATATGAAATTATCATTATGTAAATGAAAGGAGGTACCTATTGAAACCTAGAATAAACTGAGTTTTGCCTCAGCATAGCCATTTTTGCAGAGCCTTTACCCCGGACTTGCTCCGAATCTAGCACTGGTTACACATAGATAAGATAAATTTCCAACAGGCAGGTTTTAGGAGGCATTTAGACATTTTAAAATTACATTTTACAGGAGGGGAAGCAGCACCCCGAACCCTACAGCAAATCACCATCCCTGGCAAGACCAGGACGGTCCCACCTTTCAACTCATAGTTTAGCATAATAATCTCTAGGAAACTGGTCAAAGATCACCCCTTGGCTGGCTGAAGCCATAGAAAGGATAATAAGACCACCTTGTAGTCAAGGAACTTGTGAAACGTCCGACTGCAGGAAAAGCCCCTCTGGGAGCAGATCCCCGCAAATCCCCAAGTTAACCTAATCAGTCCTTCATGACCTAAATGACACAGACAGGACCCCTGCCCACCATGGCAGCAAACATGTGACTAACCCACCCAGCTGCCTGCTGTCCATCACCTGATGCACTTATCTGCCCCTTGGTGATGATGTGGAGCAGACCACCACCAAATCACCTAATGACCTTCCCCATCCAAGGCAAGGGTT